ATGTGGTATATTCTCATGACAACGACGTCGTTTAGTCTCATTGACTTCTTCTTGTCGCACCTGTTGTTTTCTATTTCATCTCCACCWCCTTTTTTTTTGTTTACTTCTTTTAGCAGACAATTTTTTTTCTGTTTTTTCGGTTAAAAAAGTTTGTTTACTGTTGTTTGTTCGAGTTTTCTCCACTTACGGTTTAAAACTCATTTTAAGTAATATTTTTCGTATATTTTTTTTTTTMTTTTTAACAAGAATTTTCGTATATTCGTAAGAGGTAAAAAATAATATTCGGACATTGACCCGAAATTAATGCAGAACTAGATTTTGATCCATGCCAAGCGTGGAATTAAATATTTTAATATATTTTCTAACTGATTTATAATATTTAGACGTGTATTATAATATTTATAAACCTATTAAATGATATGTATGATGTATAAAAGTAATCAAGTTAAATGTTGATCAAACAATTTTGATGTCATATGCTCTGATCAACTTAGCATAAAAATATTAAAACTAATACAAATGTTATTTATATCAATTAATTTGAAATGTAAATAAATTTTTATAATGTGTAAATTATAGAATATGCAATAAATCAAATATTTGTTTAGATTTATATGAATTTGTCGGACATGACAAACAAAAAATATATGTCTATATAAATTTCACGTAAATATTGGGTATTTATCGATAAAATTTGGTATGCGATGTCACATTTTTCATTTCTAAACTATATCATATATTATCAACAATAAATTCTTGGCAAAAAGAATGATATCAATAAAAGTAAATTTTCTTAGTCGTTTGTGTAGTATTTTTGTTGTGTGACTATCCAAAATCAAACATGTATACTTGGTAGTCCGGTGGTTGAAAAAATTATTTTGACGCAAAGTTTAAATGATTTCACAGCGATTTTAATTGTCTTTCGTGATTTGTGTTGTAAGAAAATTCAGATTTCTATTATTTCAGAAGATTAGTCTCGATTTTGTCTTATGATTCCCGGTAAAACAAAAAAAAAAGTATATATTAATTGAGTAACTAGCCAATTAACCTCTATGTGGCACATTCATGACCACTAGATTTAGGTTAATTGATTACTTGCTCAATTAATAATTGTTTTTTGGTTAAGAGCAAATTGACCCTAATTCATGTTGAGAAAAAAAAGGAAAACAAACAAAAACGACTTTTAGTTATCAGGTAAAGGAAATGGCGGGAACCAACGCTCAGAAATTGGCACGAGTGACGCGGCAAATCCGGGCCCACATATTTGGATTTCCATTTTCCATCGGCGTAAAAATCTCC